AAAAAAAAAAAAAAAAACACAAGAAAACATACAACATTCTGCAAAAGAAAAAACAAAAAAAACAAAACGAAATGAGACATGCCCAACGAGAATGAATCTTCCTCGATAAAGAGGAATATTCATTCTCGCGAGAGAGAGAGAGAGAGGGTCAGCCAGTGTCTAACACTGGCTGACGCTCTCTCCCTCTCTCTCTCTCTCTCTCTCTCTCTCTCTCTCTCTCTCTCTCTCTCTCTCTCTCTCTCTCTCTCTCTCCCTCTCTCTCACCAAACTCAGCGTCAGACACTGCACGCAGCCCTGTCCTCTTCAGCCAAATGGGGCAAGGCTGGGCGGCATCTGCGGGGTCTGAACACACGTGGAACACACGGTGAACACAGATAAGACTGACCCTTGTGGAGATTTTCCTGTATTTTAGTTTTAAATTTTGTTTCGGAGGTTTCCTGAAATTTGCTTTTTAATTTGCTTCGGATGGTTTTTTCCCCGCGAAGTCGGGACTGCTTCGGCATATCAGTGGGAGCATGCACTTCGCCAAGCAGTTGGGTGGCCTAGGTCGGACGGGTTTTATGTCCTAACGGAATTCTGCAAGGACGGGGGCATGGGGGACTCGCGACGACGGCTCGTGAAAGTAGGGGACTGCATGAGTCTTGAGCGGCGTCGACCCCGCCCCAAGACCCGTGACCGGATCCGAATGCTTTTGGTGAATTACGGGGACTAGGTACGGGATTTTTCGGGATTAATGCCTTTCAGGCTCCCAACGGTAGATAGATGATGGGCGCCGGAATTTTGGCCGACTTTTTTACACTTCTAGCCCGTGACTGAATCGGAATGTTTTTGGTAGATTACTACGACTAGGTACAGGTAGGCTGCTGTTAATGCGTTTCCTGACCTTCAAGCGGTAGATAAATCTTGGGCGCCGGAACTTTTGGCTGACTTGTTATACTTCTTGTTTTGGTAGAGGTCTGCAGCAAGATGCTCGCGTGTGAGAAACGACGGAAGGGACTAGACGAGCGACGCTACTTAACCAGTGAGGCAAGGCATTAGCCTCCCTTTTGAGCTCAAAGACTCTACGGAGTCACCCTCCTGAGGATGCCTGTGCGGGCAGGCGAAACCGTTCGAGGGATGCCACATGATGCTCAGAGTGCAGTTTGTATGTCTCTCTTCATGCAAGCAGACGGTTTTCTGTGTGTACTTGTGTGTGATGTCTGACATAGCTGCTCGGACTGTGTGCCGCAGTTTGCCACTCTCTGGCACGTAGTAACCGTCAGTTTTCTTGAGCTGCGCGGTGGCTGCGTCCACTGGCTCGAGGTACTAGCGACGATTGTGCTGACCGGAACAGGAGAAGGATGACGGGTGTGATAGGGAGACAACGGGGAACGCACGACATGAACCTTTGCATCGGTGAAATGGTGAACCGGGTGAAGTCACGGGGAGCTCGGGTGTTCGCACGGGAGTGGAGGTCGGACGTACTACGTGCATCCGGGCCAACGGGGACTCAAGATAAGCTTGGCGAAGTATAAGGGAGCTCGGGGTTTTCTCGATTACACGGTCACCAATAGGATGATCAGGAGAAGCACGGGATTGGCACGCATCTTGTATGGAGTAGGGATTATACTAGTCGGGATCGGGTTTATCGTAATCGGATCGGGGTTTTAGCACGATGCCGATTCCGTGTGTTAGGTGCGGAGGTAGCAGCGGACACGTGAGGAGACGCGCGACAGTGAGAACTAGGCTTATCGAGGCTTTGGAAGATTATGTCAGAAATACGATACAACCGATGCATTTAATGATAGGATTTGTCACGAATGAGACGTTGCGCGCAGGATTATACGATTTGCTTATGAGCCTCTTGATTAAGATAGAAACGACTTTGCTTACACTCCGCACGAGGCGGAGGATCCGTTATCGCGAGATCGTGGATATATGGCGTGAGTGAATCTCTAGACTGCAAAAGATCTCCGTTATTTGTTTTTGAGAATATAGACACGCTTGGTACGACGAGAGTAGAGAGACGATAGGATATACGAGATGTTCCTAACGAACGGCCCCACGGGGGGCAACGCGGTTGGCTTGGGCAATGGGCAGGGGACGGGAAGCAACGGAAAATCCATTCACGAACGTGGTGCAGAACGGGGGAACCTGGGACAAGTACCACGGAGGCGGCGACAACGGCACGACGGGAGGTCGCGGGAACGGATGCTACAACTGCGGGAAGCCCGGGCATTTTGCCCGAGACTGTTGGGCGCGGAAGGCTCGGGGTGACACGAATCCGCAAGGGGATCCCGAATTGGAGGAGATCAAGGAGCACTTCCGAGCAATGCAGAAGGGGAGATTGGAGCTGGAAGAGAAGCGCAAGCTGGAAGATGAGAAAAGGGCGAAGGAGGAGGAAGAACTTAGGAGGAACCTAGACTTTGGTCGTAAAGCTGAGGAATTCAAACTACAACTACGCGCCGAACTGCTGGAGGAGTGGAGGAAGAACAATCAGATCGCCGAGAAAGCAAGTGGATCTTCGAAGAAGCCAGTGAGAAGAAAGAGAGGGATGAACCGAAGAGCAGCTGGCGGACAGGGGAGGAGTCATACGAAGAAGAAAAAGAAGGTAGTGAAGTCTAGTGATGAGACGGAACGACACAAGACAACTCTTCGGAGGCTGAAGTGATGATGGACTCCGACGAATCTCGGGATCAGCGAACCCCCAGAGGGAGGAAAAAGAAGCCAGCGAGCAAACACAAGAAGGGTAGAGCGGTGAAGGGGAAAGGTGCGGTGGGAGAAACACCACCTAAGACGTTTGAGAGGGGTGAGTGCTCCGAGCCGGGGAAGACAGACCCGGGAGGGAACGGAAGGTTCCATACTACGGAGATCGTGAAGAACCACGCAGTCGGGGACGAGGCACGAGGCGAACCGAAGACGCCATTGACGGGAAGCTACAAGGGGCTGGCAGCTGAATGCTCCCAGAAAGGCCTCATCGACTATTGCATTTCAGCACACAAGATTTTTTCGGCGAAGAAGGCGGACGTGCTCGGGAGGATTTGCGAGCAGAAAGGGATAAAGTACACGACAAAGCCGGAGGTCGTGGAGATCCTGGCTAGGCAACAGGTTCAGTTGGCATATGATGACTTCGAGGAAGACCCGGGGGTGGTGATGGGAGCAGTGAAGACCAAGGCTTTGGGATCACCCCGGAAGGGGTTCACGAGGGAGCGGGAGACGAGCGGCCTGCCTACCCCGAGGAGGGTACCGCTGATCATCAGATCAGCGTCGGAGCAGCCTACTGATGACTCGGACTGACGGTGCCCGACCAACGCCGAACTCTGGGACAAACTGGTGTATTGGCTGCAACGGAGGACCGCGCTGAGAGACCTAGGAGAAACAGGGGAGACAGGGAGGAAGGTCGAGAGTATTATCTCTACTACTACACTACTGTTAGTGGCTAGAGGGCAAATTCGGTGGCTAGATAAGTTTTTGGGGAAAGCTTATGAGGTCAAGGACTTACTGAGCCTGCAGACAGGTGGAGTGTATGCAATAGTGATCCCGTGGGCAAAAAAGGCATACATTGGTTGTACTGTTAGGCCTCTCATCCAAAGATGAAGGGAGCATTGTCGGAACGCTCTAAGCGATAGCCTAGGACAGTCGCCGCACCTATATCGGTGGTTGCTCAAGTTTGGTTTGGACAGGTACGTGATAATCCCGCTCAGGCATACTAACACGGCCGATGATTACACGTTTGAAAAGTACCTGATAGCGGATTTCAATCCAGGCCTGAATTCGCGGGATACTGGGAAGGGTGAGAAGCTGGGTAGGATCAGACGATGGCGGGGGAAGAGGGAGAGGAAAGGTAGGACGGGGAGGACGAATACGGAAAGACTATGTACGATCACTCACCGAGGAATGATGTTCACGTCATGGCTAGAATGGTTGGCAGTACACTGCGGGGAGAAGGAAATAGACATCGCTGTGAACGGGGGAACCACCTGGCTAGGGAGCTAGAGGAAGATTAAACGGAGATTCGGGGATTCTCCACTCCTGATCGATGGGGGAGCTTGTAGATTACGGGACGCGAAGGCAGCACTGCAGGTAGGAGGTAGGATTACGGTATTAAGGATTGTGAAAGCGAAGACTACTACGGAACGAAACAAACAGTTTCTGGAGTCCCTCCTTCGGAGACCGAGACTGGACACGCAGCTCCTCTCTTTAACTGTGAGGAAACTAGTAGGTCTCTATAGAACAGCGGGTCTATTCACAGAGAAGAAGACTAAACACAAACTGAGGACGAAGCTAGACAGGTTGATTGCGAGGAAGTGCAAGGTTAGTGTGCGCAAGAGAGTGAATGTTAGACTGTCGTCTGACTCCTGGATCAGGAAGAGAGAAGTTCATCGATTGACTGAACAAGTAGTGGGGGAAGCGGTTCCTAACAGTTGCCTCGCAGATTTCATAAAAACAAGGATTCGCGTAGTCTGGAGAAGAAACCGGAATATAGGGGAACTCTTACACAACCAGAAAAAGTATGCAACAGTGGTAGAGCACCCTTGCCCATGCAAGACCTCCAACCTTCCGAAGCATGAAGGTCATGTGCTTACCAGGTTCTCAGATATCGGAGTTCCTCGCTTTGTGAGGAACTCGAAGAATATCTAGACCTGCGAAGGCAGGGGACAGCGACACTATTAGGCAGGCTATTGACGAGGGTACAAAGCACCTGAAGGGTAGCTCGACTCGACTACATACGGGAGGAGCTATTATGACCGAGAGGAAGACCAGCCCTGCTGCCTGGACAGATGAGCAGGTTAGGGAGTGGGGCATGCAGTTCGACGGTCTGGTGCTGACACCCGTAGACCGGAACCGGGGGGACACAGCGGTTTTCTGTCCGGTCCGTTACAGGCACGGCTTTGGGAAAACCTTCGCTTGGAATTCCAACTATGTTACCATTGGCAAGCCAGAAGACGAAGCCGCGATCTTGAAGACGTCCAGGGAGGATTTCTTGGCTGGTGGACTTGACTCGATTGGGAAATGGAGACTGGATGGGCGACTGGGCACAGCATATGTGATCCCAAAACATAAGGATCTCGCACACTGGCGACCCATCGCGCCGGCCCCAGCGGATCCAGCTAGCCTGGCAACTAAGAGAACCACAAGGGCACTACACTGCCTGCTGATTCGCCTACCTGCTAACAACACCTTCTTCCTCAATTCAGTGGGCGATCTGGCGGAACGACTCAACGCGACTACGCAGAGAATGCGATCTGCAGGGTGCAACAAAGTGGTCGGGCGATGCTACGATATAAAAGAGATGTTTTCAAGGATTCCGCACAAAGCAGTGATCCAGGCGGTGCATCAACTACTGAGAAGGTACGAAGACGACGGTTGCAGGCAGGTAAAAGTCTCACTGAGGGGGAAGCTATCCGTCATCAGTCAAAATAAAAAGAAGACAGAGGGGTACGTAGGGATTACCCTTCAGAAGATCATGGAGGCCATTCGGTACGATCTGACGCATGCAGTGGTAAAATGTGGAGACAGGGTGGTTAAGCAAGTGTTCGGCATCCCGATGGGCAAGTCGACTAGCCCGGTGCTGGCATCAGTAACGTGCGCAATGGCAGAATTACAATTCATCAAGGGCCTGGGTTCCGACAAGAGCTTAGTGGCCGGTTGGCGCTTGATGGACAACATCACAATCATCGTAGGATTGGTAGGTCTGCTTCAGCCGGACCACATCTTTATGGAGTTCGAGGACATCTACGATGCTCACCTGGAGATCGTTAGAAAGGATGAATGCGGCCTCACGTGGCCATTCGTGGGTGGACAGATGTTCATCAGCGGATCACCTCTGGGACTGCACTATGTACCCTATACCAAGAATACAGACTCTCTTCATGAGAAGGGAGTGCTGCTATCCCAGACGATGCAAGACTATGATTCCTACTCGGTGAAATGCGTGAAGAAAGGAGTTTTGTTAGCCACCCTGCGAAGACTGTGGGACCAGACCACGAGTAAGCAACTGGTCTTGGGAGCATTGGCGTTCGCTATCTGTGAAGCAGACCTTCGGGGTTACCCCCTGGAGGTCTCTCTCGATGCCTTGGCCAATTTGGCCAAGGCTGTGCCAGATAGAACACTGCACAGCCTGCACGCAGCCTTGTCCTTTTCAGCCAAATGGGGCAAGGCTGGCCGGCATCTGCGGGATCTGAACACACGGGGAACACACGGTGAACACAGATAAGACTGACCCTTGTGGAGATTTTCCTGCATTTTAGTTTTAAATTTTGTTTTGGAGGTTTCCTGAAGTTTGCTTTTTAATTTGCTTCGGATGTTTTTTTCCCCGCGAAGTCGGGACTGCTTCGGCATATCAGTGGGAGCATGCACTTCGCCGAGTAGTTGGGTGGCCTAGGTCGGACGGGTTTTATGTCCTAGCGGAATTCTGCAAGGACGGGGGCATGGGGGACTCGCGACGACGGTTCGTGAAAGTAGGGGACTGCATGAGTCTTGAGCGGCGTCGACCCCGCCCCAAGACCCGTGACCGAATCCGAATGCTTCTGGTGATTACGGGGACTAGGTACGGTTTTTTTCGGGATTAATGCCTTTCAGGCTCCTAGCGGTAGATAGATCTTGGGCGCCGGGATTTTGGCCGACTTTTTTACATTTCTAGCCCGTGACTGAATCGGAATGTTTTTGGTAGATTACTACGACTAGGTACAGGTAGGCTGTTGTCAATGCGTTTCCTGGCCTTCAAGCGGTAGATAAATCTTGGGCGCCGGAACTTTTGGCTGACTAGTTATACTTCTTGTTTTGGTAGAGGTCTGCAGCAGGATGCTCGCGTGTGAGAAACGACGGAAGGGACTAGACGAGCAACGCTACTTAACCAGGGAGGCAAGGCATTAGCCTCCCTTTTGAGCTCAAAGGCTCTACGGAGTCACCCTTCTGAGGATGTCTGTGTGGGCAGGCAAAACCGGTCGAGGGATGCCACATGATGCTCAGAGTGCAGTTTGTATGTCTCTCTTCATGCAAGCAGACGGTTTTTTGTGTGTACTTGTGTGTGAATTCTGACATAGCTGCTCGGACTGTGTGCCGCAGTTCGCCACTCTCTCTCTCTCTCTCTCTCTCTCTCTCTCTCTCTCTCTCTCTCTCTCTCTCTCTCTCTCTCTCTCTCTCTCTC